CTGTCCATATGCAATTTAACGGAAAAGATGATGATAAATGTGGTATTGTCGAAACCTTGTGTCATTGAGGATAATAGCACAGTACACGAATTAAACCCGGAAACCAGTTCAGCATATTCCTATCAGTGAGAACTTTAAATTTAACATTTCAAACCTTCATGGAAAGAAGAGTTCAATCAAGAAGAAGAACTGATGTATAAAGTAGCAACAATATGTATATAGTAGGAAGCAGATCATGTGAGGACGGTCTACTTCTGAACACGTAACAAAGGTCGGTCAACTTCCGAACTAACAGAAATAGCCAGATGATGACAAATGAGATTGTGTTGAAACATCGTGTAATTGAGGATAATACCACAGTACACGATTAAAAACCCGAAAACCAGTTCAGCATATTCCTATCCGTGAGAAATTCAGATTTAACATTTCAAACCTTTACGGTAAGAATAGGTCAAGCAAGAAGAAGAACTCAGGTAAATACCAACAACAATATTTAAATAGTAGTTAGCGGATCGTGTAAGGGTAGGCTACTTCTGAACACATAACAAAGGTCGGTCAACTTCCGAACTAACAGAAATCGCCAGATGATGACAAATGAGATTGTTTCGAAACGTCTTGTGATTGGGGATAATACCACAGTACACGAATCAAAAACTGGAAACCAGTTCAGCATATTTCTATCCGTGAGAAATTTAGATTTAACATTTCAATTCAAACCTTTACGGGATTTTGTGATAACTCACTGGGTGTGATGTGTCTTATATGTCATGAATACTCAATGATTTACTTATGATATCTTCCCATTCGTCTCGCCATTTATCTCTGCACATGATTTTGAGTATTCTATCTATGATGAAAGTAGAAAATATGAGATGAATATTTTGTAGCCATTACGTGATTCCGTTTCGTTACCCCCACCTCATTGTTTCAAATAGTTCTTCATTGATTTGTTCATATGAACCATTTGTCATTTTCTGTAGTATTTCATTATGTTTGCATGAATTCCTTCTTCTATTCTTCAAGATAGGGTCATAATTTCATTATATTCTTTCTATCGGTAACATCAACCAACAACCCCCACAGTAGCCAATCACAATCGCTATAACAAAAAAGTTTTTTTCCATTTCAAGTACAACATGGATTGATGAACGCATTCAATCGATGATGACGTAACTTATCCATCATCTTCTTATGAAAAAATCTTCTATGACATATTTCATAATGAATCCTGAGTTCTATACTATCGAATATAGGATAAAGAAACTTTTGTCTGATTTCTGTTTGTTATTTGTTATTTACGGCTGATTTCGGTTTGTTAAACGGACATTGCAATTCCATGTTCCATCATTAAATTCAATTTAACAACATCAAAATCTTTCCTTCAGCAAATAATATGACAAATCGAAAAACATATTAATTTCATTTTCAATAGAGATAATTACAAAGAATATTTCTACCGCTTGTGATTCAATCAAAAAAGGAGTTGTTGTTACCCTTATATTTTCCGTTTTTTTATTTCGATAACCAGCTGTCGCTCCACTACGAACGAAAACTCTCATAAGTTGAAACATGTGCGAGATACAGACTATCGAGGTCTCACCTATCAACGTGTGATTCCTAACACCCTTAAAAAAATCTTGACTAGGGGTAGAATTGTATTGGCAACAATCTCAAAAAGCATTGAATCTTTTTTTTCAAAGTGGTATACTGATCCATTATTTTTCAAGCAGGACTTTCCTATTGTTAACTCATATGATTTTTATCACTGATTGCATGATACATAGTGGTTTTGAGTTCTTCCTGCATGATATGTTTGCACCACAGTCGAAAACAAATGCATTTATTGCGTTTTTTTTAAATTGCACCTTTTTTCTGCTGCATTGGTTCGATGGCAATTAATATTCATTCTACTCGTTCATCATTTCTCCTATTCAGATTTATTCTTTGGTGACCTCTATGAGTTCCACAAATATTAATTCATTCAATAACCCAACCACTGAACAGTGCTGCACAGGAGAACTGACCTAGAACAAACGATGCTTGTGATAGTGGAAGAAATGAGCTTCAGCTCCCATGCGGTTATTGATAGTACAAAACGTATTGGGTTGGTCTAAAAGCTCGAACTGTGAGTGCTCCACGATTTGATCGATTGACAGAAACTGTCACCTTCTTCATTACTTCTGCGCAACCAAAACAATCCTTCTTTGGATCGGATCTTCACGTGTGATGCAATGTGGACCCTCTACTAAAACAGGAGACGTTCAGAATAGTATTTGGATGCCGATGAGCTACTCAGGCACTTCCTAGATGCGACAATCCACCTAAAAAAAGACTATGGTTACTGTATGGTGGTTAGCGGCTGGTGTGATTCACTATAATTTTCTGGAACCGGGCTAACTCATCACAGCAGAGTTCTATCGAGCGGAAATCGACGGAATGTACCGAAAATTGCATCAGCACCACTTCAACACCCATCCGCACGATTAACAAATCACTATCCGAAAATCAAACTAATTGAGACCTCTCACCAACCAACTACCATCTTTCAAAGCATTTCTTCAACTTTATCACCGGTAGAACCTTCGCCAATCAAGACCAGGCAAACACGGCCTTCGTCGATTTCATCGAATCCCGAGCATACATTTTTTATGCTGACGGAATTATTTGACTTGTTTTACATTAGAAAGAGTGCCGTAATTCAACATTTGCTGAGGTATTACAGTTCAAATTAGACTCATGAAAACTGACAAAACTTTCGAAACAACCTGATATTTCAGTTAGAGAAAAAATCAATTGGACTTTTTCTTTGGACCCGTCAGAAACGGAGATGTGGATTATTTTTACAAAAATTTGCTGTTTCAAAGCATTTGAACGAAAATTTACTATCGTAGATATTTGTTCTTTCATATTCTTGATTTAGTGAAGTTGAATTGAATATTCAAGAATGTATCAAACACTAGGTTGATTTTGAATGAATTGAAAAATGCTACACTTCTATCACAGACAAAATCACATAACCATAGATTTCATTTGTCTTAGTAATATTGTATTTGCACACTGTTTGAAGTAATTAAACAGTGTCATAATTCCGTTATTTTTATGAACACGATTATGACCCTGACATCAGCCCGGCGCTGTATATTCAAAAATAACTAATATATTAATAGCTTATTATAAGATTCATTAG